GCGAGTACAATACAGTTAATTAGATATAGAAGCATAGCCATTACATGAGTTAACACTGTTTATAACAGTTAAGGGAGTCTTTGCCTAATGCTCCAATGAAACGTTAGCAGTACTGCCCCAGGAGTACATTCCTGAGCAGTCACGTTTCAGAAAGTAGACTGTATGTTTTCCAACAGCAACGTCCGTTAGCACGGAGGTTGTGTTAAAATTAATCTATCTACTTTGACTTGGAGCAGTTAAAACATTACTGACACACAAGCAATTTGAAACAATTATTCTTAAAGCCGCTGATTAGCTTCTCCATCTGTGAGCCCATTGCTAATCTGCACAAACACAAACTCTCTGCCAAACAAACAATGCTTAATAATGAAGTGAGTCTTTGCCAGGAGGTCGACATTGATACTGGCTGCATGCAGTTTTTTATTTTTATTTTTATTTTTATTTTCTTTGTTGTAATTTTTTTTCTAGAAGCTGTGTCTCCTTCACAGGCATTAGTTCAGCCAATCATATCTAAACATTGTTCATTAGCCAAAACAGCTGAGCTCAGTTCCATTCAGTTTTTCCTTTCTAATTGAAATGTACGGCGGCCCTTCTGAGAGAGGATCATTAGCAGAACACATCATGCTAATGCATTTTAAAGACGTCCAGCTTAAGGGCTAATTAATATTCCCTAGAAAGAATTGCAAATTTCTTCTGTAAGAGCCACTTCATAACACCAGCTGTCATGATGTTTTCTAAAACATTTTCCATCGGCGTTCATTGAGAGTCTTGGGGGAAAAAAAGATGCAGCAATCAACCAGTATACTTGAGAGCCATCCTAAATCAGACTGTATGTTGCTGAGAATTTAAAAACATGGGCTTAGTTGGATTTTAGATCAGGTTTAAAAGATGTGGTCATTTAGGATGAAATAAAAGGTGCCGTTCATTTACATTACGAGAAGTGTAGGATCCAGTGAGCTTGACCCATATCTGGGACTAAACATCAGGTTAACTGCTGCTTCAATTTTCACTGCCCTTTTTAAAATAGGTCCCCCAGATAGCTGGAGTACCCCTTTAGCGTTTTAATTTAGTTCACTGGCTTGGAGTGTGAAAACTGCAGTGACATAGACTACAACTTGTGTTGTGCAGACCTGTCAAGACTCATTTAAGTTTGACAAAATGCACTTATAATAGTGACATAGAGCAACTGCATTTCTCAGAAAATCATATCCCAACCTGTGCACAGTGCTTGGAATTATCTAGGTCTACATTACTGATGAACCTTCACCTTCAGAATGCATGTCAAACATGTAAAAACTTTAAAAAAAAAACAAAACACCTCATTAATCCACTGTGTATAAATCTGTTGTTTAAAAAGCTTTTTCCTGAAGGACCCTCTCTCCACAGAGGCCAATCAGATTCCAATTGCTCTCAGCAGCTCCACCCAGCATGGAGTTTAACATCACCTCAAGCTGTGCAGATCCTGTCTTTGCTGTTTCAATCACAATTTTACACAAAGTGTTATTTTCATTCTTGCAAATTATTTGTGAATGAAGTGGGACAGCATGAATGCATTTGTGTTACTTAACCTCAAAAGTACTTAATTTTGTGAAACCACTGCTTCTATATCAGTACAATTAATAAAATAAAACAATACTTAACAATGAAACGTAGTTTTATTTCACAGAAGTTAACACAGCACCTCACAACAGCATGTAAAGCTTAAATGAGAAAGACAAAGGCTCAGCTTCCTTCAGTACTAAGGGCCACATAATACATTACATGTACTAAGGGCATCATGGGAATCGACCCCAAATTTATTTACTTAATTGTAAAAGACGGCGCGTAATAAATACATGTCTAAATAGCATAAAGGTTTAACTTATCAATAACTGTCGTACAAATCGCACTTGCCAATGGCTGTGAGGTAAAACACACTGTGAGCACTACATGACAAACGCCTCGCTCCGACCAGTGCTCACGACCCTGGGGCTAATGTAAGGGATGCCTATTTCCCCTTCATAGATTGTCCTCTTTAATATAACACTGAACTGCTGATCCAATAAAAATGAGAAATAAACAACAGGAGTAACCCACAGCGTGCTTTTTAGACAGAAGTGTCTGCTCACTGAATCTTGTAAAATGGCAAAGTTCGTACACCCATTATACTTCATCATCAAAGTTTTACATCTGCCTAACTGAATTTTATGGGTCGATGTTGTTTGGTAAATTAGATCAGTCTTGGAAGGACTTGCGCAGCTTGGAAAGAACATTTGTACTGTTGACTTCTTTAAAAAACAGAATGGCTTCCAAACAAATCGTTTGATTTAACTTGATATTTACGTTTTCTGATGCAAATAAATCGACCCACTTAGGCTCTAAGGTACGGCTCTTGCGCATACCTTTCCCCAAAAGACGCACAGGCTAAAGGAGTCGGCGTCCGTTTTTGTCACCATCTTAAACCATTCTAAAAATGCATTTTCCTTCACAGCTGTGATTCTGAGTGGGGCATTTTTGTGGTCCCCACCAGGCTGCTGTGGCTGTGGTCAAAGCCGCCACAGTCCGGCCACAACCCCAAAGTGCCGTGCTCCAGAGTGGAGACGAATCCGCCGGAACACCGGGACAGATCGCAGGAGCTGATGTGCAACCTGCGGTCGGCTTGCCTTGGGCAGCACAGCAGCCTCTTGAAAGCCTTCCTAAAGTCCGGGCTCCGACAGTAGATGATAGGATTGAATGCCG